GGTTCACTTCCCGAGCGAAGTGCATCCCACCCTCCCCCTCAGAAATCGTGGGGGGTAGGGGTAGGGTTCGCCGGTGGCCCCCTACCCCCCTCACCCTCCTCCTCCTCCTCCTCCTCCTCCTCCTCCTCCTCCTCCTCCTCCTCCTCCTCCTCCTCCTCTCGTAATCGTCGTCGTCCGTCGTCGTCGTCGGCTGCGGCCCGCGGGCGCCTCACGGGGGCCCGCGGGCCCTGCGCCGCACCGCCTGCACCACCTGTGCAGTCACACACCGTCTGGGGTCGGCGCTGGCAGGCCGGGAGTGGTGCTGAACAAACAACTGCGGCACCTTGGCGGTGCGCAAAAGGGGGCGGAGGGAGGGGGGAAGGCTTCTTGGAAGGAGGCTGCTTCTTGGAAGGCGCCGGCCTTACATCTACAGATGAGGCCCGCGCCGGCTAAGAAGCTGGGGTGCTTCTAAGAAGCCCTCCCCCCTCCCCCCACCCCCCTTCTGCGCGTGGCTGAGCACCTCTGTGCGCACCCACGGATGCGCAGAGCCGCGCCCGGGTCGGCACGCACAGCCGCAGCGGCCGCAAGCACCGCGGGGCTACACAGATCGAGCCGCCTGGCTGCACGCGCTGGCAGAATCGGATCGCTCGAGTCCGATTCACCGATGTTCTGATAAAGCGTGTGTGTGTGTGTGTTAGGATTATGCCCCGATGTAGAATGTCACGCTGTGTTCTCTGATGTTCTGATGTCCACGGGCCGGCGTGACGTCGCGACGCCTATCGCGCTAGAGACATGCTCGTACCGCTCATGGATGTGACTCTTGGTCCCTGCGGCGACGATGACCAAAATGCACGTACGGTATATTATGTTACGACATCCCTCTGCCCTTCCGACATTTCATTCATGAAAATATGTTCTGTCATGCACGCTTCTGCCTCAGTATGCTTTAATACGTTGTATTACACTCTGTCCTTTGGCACCATGTTAGGGCATGGTGTGTTAGCTCAACGTATGTCATAAACTGATATGTTATGTGATGGTGTCGCCAGCTCGGCTCCATATGATAAAGTATGATATGATATGATATGATAGTATGTGTTGGTATGTCCTGTTCTGTCGTGGTACTCCTCTCCTCCATTGAACTACTGCAGTTTCTGTATTCAAAAACGGTTCAACCATGTTCCCTGTATTAGCGATATGTCATGGTATGCTCTGTTTATCCTCTGCTGTCGACGGGCTGGCGTGACGTCATGACGCCTGTGACGTTAGATGCGCCGTCTGTTGTGATGCCCCTCTTCACCTATGTGTGTCCCTTCTGGTTGAGTATGCGATGCTATGCTCATATATGTTACCATGTGATTGGAGATGGTATGGTATGATCTGCGTTGCGACACTATCTTATTGCATGATATGCTGACATATTACGGCTCGGCTGAGTACATTATGTTATGATAGGCTCTGCTAGTATGTTTCGAAATGCGCTGGTGCTGTGTTAGAATATGTTATGTGATGCTGTGTCATGATATGATGTGCCCTGCCATAGTGTGGTATGGTAAGCTCGGCTGTGTTATACTATGTTGTAGTATATCGGGTTCAGGTATACCATGCTATGCTATGGTATGTGATGTGATGTTGTGTTTGTGGACGCTTCGGCACAGCATGATACATTATGATATGCCATGCTTGTATGCGGCGATATGCTACACTATTGTGTTATGGTATATGAAGTGCAATGATCTGGGATGATATGCCAAGGTGTATTATGTGTTCCTCGGTTATGATATGTTATGATGTGTTCTGCCGCCTTTTGTTCTAACACGCCCCCCTCTCATCAGACTTGATGCGCAACACTGGGACCCACAGCACCCAAAAAAGACGGGGAGGGAATGTCATACACCAGCAGCACGTCATTCCTCGCGGTAGGGGAAGGCGACCGCCTGCTCCGACAGATCCACACCCAGGACAAACCTCTAGCCCCCGGAAGAGAAATATTGATTCCAGAATTGCAGCGCGCGGCGAAGGCGACCAAGCCCACGGCTGGCCACGTCCAAGGAGCCATCTACCAATTCGAACGGGCAGAATTGCCGTGCCTCCAGAACGTCGTGCAAGTCCAACCCGACCTGGCCGATGACGCCGTCTGGATCCGCGCGCACCTAAGTTCTGGCAAGTTCTAGTTGTAGTCTAGAAGTGTTCGGCATCGTCGGACAACTATTTGCACACGGATCGTGTACGTCTGGGAGCTCAACCTGCGGCCCCAGAGACAGGCTTGGCCTGAGCGTCCCCCCGCTCATGTCGGCCCACCCCTCACAGGGATCACGCCCCACAGGAAGCTCCACCTACGTCCCCAAAGACAAGGTTCGCATAATGCCACGCTCATCACGCGGATCGTGCCCCCCAGGTAGATGCATGTGCGGCACCAGAGGGGAGGAGCTTCATATCGTCGCCCCGCTCACTGCGGCACCTCTCGCACGGATCGTGGCCTGCAAGGAGTTCCACGGACGGCCCCGAAGATAAGGTTGGCATTACGCCCTCCCGCCTACTTCGGCACACCCCTCACACGAATCGTGGCCCACAGGGATCTCCACCTACGGCCCCCCCCCGCCATTGCGGCACACCCCATCACGCGGATCGCGCCCACGAGGAGCACCACGCAAAGCCCCAGGGACAAGGCTCGAACCACGCCCCCCCGCCCATGTCGGCACACCTATCACGCGAATCATACCCAAGGCGGTGCTCCACCTATGGCACCAATGGGCAGCGTCGCATGGCGTCCCCCCGCCCATTTCGGAACACGCCTTGCACGGGGAGTTGCTGGAGGAGGTCCACCTGCGGCCTCGGTGGGCGTGTTCGCGCGGCCCTTCACGCGGAGTTCAGCGCACCCGTGCACGCGTGCTCCGCAGCAGCCATCTTTCCGCATTGCCCCACGGCGCGCAGAGCATAGGGATGGGCACGTCGCAAAACCCATTGTTTGCTTATCTATGGCATTCGGCCCAAACCGCTACTGCGCCTGACTTCTGGGCCAACAGATTCTTGGATACCTGTAATATGGGGCTCCTTGGCATGCTTCCCGGGCGCCTCGTGGAACGAGTTTTGAAGTTTTTTGTGTTCTTACTTTGCATGCGCGGCCAAGTCTGAAAGTCGCTCACAGAAGCCGCAGATTGCAAGGCTGGTTGGTCCAGCCGTGCCGTACGTGCGGAATCATTGCATCGGAGCTCTAGACGTAGCGCGGACGAGAATACACGCACGACATCTCCTGGCCAGCCCAGGCCCATTGGTGTTGTTCTCACGGGGTCAGGCACGCACACGCGGGTAACAACAGTGCCCGAGGTATTTCTAGACTGCCGATCAGTACAATTGCGACTCATCAGCATCATCGTCACCATCATCATCATCATCATCATCATCATCATCATCAGCAGCAGCAGCAGCAGCAGCATCATTATCATCATTCTCATCATCGTCGGCGTCGTCGTCGTCCTCGTCGCCGTCGTCATCATCATCATCATCATCAGCAACAGCCCCAGCATTATCATCATAATCAGTATCAGCATCACCAGCATCATCATCGTCGGCGTCGTCTTCAGCATCAGCATCACCAGCATCATCATCAGCAACATCATCATCATCATCATCATCAGCAGCAGCAGCAGCATCATCATCAAAAGCAGCAGCAGCATCCTTATCATCACCATCACCGTCAGCATCATCAGAAACATCATCATCAGCCTCATCATCATCAAGATCAGCAGCATCGTCACCATCATCATCATCATCATCATCATCATCATCATCATCATCATCATCAGCATCAGCATCAGCATCACCATCCATTATTATCATGATTCACCAGCGTCAGCAACATCATCAGCAGCAACAGCAGTATCATCTGCATCACCTGCATCATCTGCCGCTTCGTCTTCGTCGTCAACTTCATCAAGAGTCGGAAGCGCTGGCTAGGCTGAAAACCGCTCGCAGAAGCCGTACGAGTAAACATTGTAAAGTTGAACGCAGGGCCCCCGTCGGAGGGCATTCGAGCACGCGGCCGTTCGCCGTGGGAAGCGGGCGGAAAAAGAGGCAGAACATGACAAGGCCTGCAGCGCCAACTAAAATCAACCCGTATAGTAAGGATGCGCGGAATGGATGCAAGGGCCTCGGAAGGCCGTCTCGAAACCTTTCGAGCGGGGCGCGGCCAACGAGTGTGGCCAAGGATGGACCGAGGAGGGAAGGATACAAGGGTACACTTGAGAAGGTTGCCCATCCATACTATGCGGGCTGGCTGTACTCCGCAGGCTGCAGAAGTGAGGGACAACGATAGTTGGGGAGACTGGCATAGGGGGGCATGCATCGACCTGAAATCGGCAATACATCGCCGACTGTTCGGTTATAGGCACCCGACAGTGAATCCGCACCTTGATGTGCAGGTTGGGGCTGTCGTGCCCCTACTGACGATCAGTGGGCGAATGGGGGTCGATGAATCCCCCCCTTACGTATGCCTATCCTCCCCTATCGTTGCCCCCGGAGAGAAAAACAAACAAAAAAAAAAAAAAAAAAAAAAACGTCTCGTAAGATGCCATCTGGGCCTTCGCCCAACCGCCGGATGGGCGAGCCCCCCCAAGCCGAGCCGCGGCGCGCGGGAAGCCGATCCCCGGGCCCACGGGGGCCCGCACTGATGTCCATGTCCACGGCCTTCCCAGGCCCAGGAACCTCTGAAGATCGGCTTCCCGGGAAATTGGACATGTTTATGCTCTTCCCGTCCTGCGTAAGGGCCGCATCCCAGAAATAGTTTCGAGCACCCAGAAGAGTGCCGAAACGGTGTCGAAACAGTGTCTCCCAGGGCCCGGCACGTGAAAACCCTTGAGTTTCGGTACTTTTTTGGGGCGCTCGAAATTCTTCCTGGTGATCAAGGCTAAAGTAGGTTGGAGCATCATAAGGAGATGTGTAAACTCCAACCTCGGAGGATAGCTCGCGGGCACTTCCCGTCCCAGCCGCGGACGAGGCGGCGAGGCCACTCGTCTCCAGGCCTCCTCCGCGCCCTCCTGGGAGAAGAGCACGTGGAACTGGGGCACCTCGAAGGGACGGTGGAGAGGATTCGGGGAAATGGCATCGAACGAACCCTGTACGAAGATAATTGTTGAATTGCTACCTTGCAAACTCGTGTAACGACGGTGGCCTATTACCTTGAATGTGATCCACACCCTACAAACTCGCGCCTGGTTGGCCGCCACGCAGTCCGGCAACTGTCCTATGATTGCCTGTTGTCTCCTCCGACTGCGCCGCACGGTGCCAATCCTTGCCTTCCTGACAAATTCGACGCCCCGAATCATACCCGGGATGACTTCGGTCTGGGGTAGCCCCAGTTTGGGGCCTGGACGCACGATCCAGCTGCCCCCCATCACCCCAAGCCCCGGTGATTCCGGAGTGGTTGGACACCCGAATTCTCTGGCATACCTCCGGTCCAGAGCAGCTCTGGACTATGGGCCCCTTGGCGTGCATCGGGGGCTGCCCCGGACCACCCCCCGGCCCCGATGCGTCGGGGCTCTGACCCTCCGAGGTCCGACGTCGCGAGAGGTCACGACAGGAGGAGTGCGGGGCATCGACATGCGAGGGCCCCGGGGCCCGGAATCGTGCGAGAGCGCCCGCTGTGAAACACTGCAGCACTGGGAGCACAGGATGATTCGGGGCTGCGGGCAGAGCTCAATGGGCCCTGGAAACGACAAGGCCGTTGTTGTTACGGGTTCCGTTTTGCCGTTTTTGTTGCCAATTCCGACACCGTTTGCTTACCGGTTCCGTCGCCGTTTCTTGACCGGTTCCGGCCCCAGCTCCACTTCTGGAGCCGCTTTTTTGCCGGTTCCGGTCGCCGCTTTTCTTGCCGTTTCCATTTCCAAAGGACATTTTTGCTGAAAACGGTGAAAAGACGGCCCGGCCGTTTCCGGGGCCCACAAAGGGGCAGAATCTTAGTCAGCGGCCGCAGGCGAGCGCGCCAGCGGCGAGTCCAGTCAGAGCGGGGCGCGCACAGACGCATTAACCTAAAGCGGTAGGCCGAAGCCTCACGCAGCACCTCGGCGGGCAGGCGCAGTGGGCAGAGTCGAGGCAACAAAAATCGGAGGGCCACACCCCAATCAGGGCGGAGGCGGGGGCACGCACGCAGGCACCCCGACCTTGCAGACGTGCTGCCGCGGTTTTGTTGCATGGGTTTCTTTGTCCAGGCAAAGCGCCGCGAAACAGCGAGCGGAAAAGGAAGTGACTCGCACGTGGATGTTTTTCGTGGCCTTCGCTCCTGGTCGGAAAACTCCGCGCGAAATCCGCTCTTCCAAATCCTGAACGAGGCTCTCCAAGACAATCTGGGCCAATCCCGCTTTGCGGGCAAGATTTCTATCCATATCCACTGCGGCCTGGAGCTTCGGGCCCCTTCCTGTGATCCCGGAGGCACCGTGGATATGGATGAAACAATTCCGCCCCCAGGGGTCCGATGATTATCCATATCCACTGCGCCGCGGCCTGTTTTAAGGCCTCCTCGACTGGGCCCGAGCAGATGGGGTCGGAGGATTGCGCCGCATCGCCAATGCATCGGCGATGTATTGGCGATGCATCGCCGACGTCGGCGACGAATCCGGGACGCCGTGGAGAAAATCGGGTTCCGCATCGAGCCGCATCGTCGATGCATAGGGCGACGCGGCGCGATCCTCCGACCCCATCTGCTCCGACCCCATCTGGGAGGCCTGGACTGCAAGCGCCCCCTCCCAGAAAGTCCAAGACGCAGCGGATACCGTGGAGGCCAGTCCACAAGAAACCTTCCACGAGAAAATCCCAACCCTGAGAACCCAGGCCGCCCATCGATTTTTGGCGTGAGGACGCTACGCTGCTCACAGCAAATGCCATCGGAACCCAGGGCACCCAGGGCACCCTGGAGGCAAGCGGGGTGTTTCTTGGCGCGCGACGCCGGCGCCGCGTGGCGGAAAAGGGGCGGCGCGAGCGCGGCCCCGAGGCCAAAGGGCACCCCACCGGCGCCGCCAGCGCTCCCAGTCCGTCTCGTCGTCGTCCTCCTCCTCCTCCTCCTGTTCTGCTCCAGGGCCATAAGGGGGATGGCCCGCAGGCTGCAGCCAAATGCAAGAAGACCAGAGAGCTCGTCTGCAGCCAAAGTGCTGGCCGCACCCCCCGACCTCGCGCGCGCGCGTCGAGGCACGAGCCCAGGGGACAGAATAATCTCCCCGGGTCAAGATCGAGGGGGAGGTGGAGGGTCACATCAGACATGTTAGCAACGCAGGACCTCACCTCCCTCCGCATGCTTCCGACGATATTGCAGCGCAGAGTGCCTGGCTAGTAATGTGCACAATTCCTGAGGGCACTACATGGCCTGCTGAGTATTCCAACGGCCGTCGGTCATTCCCTCGAGCACCTCGCTACCAAATGGATGGCAGCAGCGCCCACTGCAGTTCACGGGCGAAGCTGGGCAATTTAATCGTCAGAAGCTGCGTTAGCTTCGTCGGTCGCGAGCCACATGAGCACTGCTCAGGATATACGCATTGAGCGGAAAAGCCACAGGTTCCAAGCTCTCTGAGGTTCCCTTGAGAGACCATGAGCTCGGAGTCTGCGAATTTGAGTGGCACGCTGCATGTTCCAACGCACCGTTCACAACCGTGGCAAGACACATATACATGACGTAAAGAACTGCTCGATACAGATCACTAGCTGTAGAAATCGGGCGCCGTTCTCTGGAGGTGGCGAGCGGTCGACCCAATAGGTACTGCAGAAACAGAGCGGCCTGGATCTCGGGCATTCGGGGGCATCCACATATCGAGCAGCCAGCCACGCCTCGCAGGGCGGTCCAACTATAGCCCCCCGAACGTGGCTTTGTAATCACAAAACTGGAAACGTTTCTCGTGTCACGGCCGACCTTACGTCGGCGTTCGCGGGGTCATATATCATATTTGAAGAGACAGCACAGCAACTGGGCCAATCCCTAGGTCCAGTGCTGACAATCCCCAGGTCTACGCTGCCCGCTAAACAAGTGCAGTATAGGCCGGGCCTCCCTGGGCTCAACGCTGCGCGGGCTAGCTGCATGAGCCCCGTCACATACTGCCGGCGGCACGCGAACGCCCACGTCGCACGAAGGCGCAAGAGGGGGGGGGGGGGAGAAAGAGAGACCCAACCCCACCGGCGGCGAACAGCCTTTCCCCTGGGACGGCCCCGACAAGAAACTCGGCCCCACTCGCGCGAAAGCCCCTAAACTTGAACGCCGCGCCAAGATTACTGTCCTCCTCACGAAGAGCCCCATTGCGCTCGTCGGACATAAGCACCTTCAACTGCCTCAGAGACTCGAAGCAACCAGCGCCCGCAGCTCTCAAGTGCCTAAGAAGTGTCGGCCTGTCCCTAGAATCCTGAGCGCGCACCTGACAAATCGAGCCATGAGCCAGGCGCCACTGCGCCTCGCGGTCAGGCGTCCTTCCATGGGCCCAACGTGAAAACAGGAACAACCGCAAACCTCACAAGCACACTTCTTGGCGGGTTCTTTAAGCAACGCATTGCACGGGGGCGGCATGACGGAAGCCTCGCATATTTGTTCGAGGCCACGTTGTCACAAAGTCAGTCGGAGCTGATCGGTGCACCACATTCTGCACGCCTGAAAGCATACCGAACACTCTGTTTATCCAACCAGTCGGATCCTCCGCAACCTTGAGCAAGAGCTCTCTAGCCGCGAAGGCCCCGCCAGCTTCAAACCCGCGGGAGAATCTGGGGCCAGGCGAGGCCCCGTTTGATTTCGCCCCCCCCCCCAATATTGTTTTGTGTTGAGCCCAATGACCAAACGATTCCAGGGGGGCAGAGGTCATTAATCTGGCAATCAACCTGAGGCGCATGGGTCTATGTATGATGGGTTCTGGGGCCACTTCACCATCAAGCATGACCTGCTCGTTGGACGCGCGACGCCGATCGGACCGTCCGAGGCGGGCGCCCAGAACACTCCGAAAGAGGGCGAGGTAAGATGCGCGACTATCATGGCGCCCCCCTCAGAGCTGGTCAGCTCACCTCATGCGCGCCCATCATACAGGAGCCCAGACGTGCACAGGGAATCGACAGACTTGGGCTTCATCTTCTCACAAAGGCGCCCGGCCGCGAGCACAGTCCTTCCGAGCGGGCCGAGCCCAATCTTCTGTTCCGTTTTCCGTTGCACAACCTCGGCGCAATGGGTTGCATGGAGCGGGTCAGAAGTAGGAAAGAGCTGGGCCCTGGTGGGCCTGGACCCAAATCCCAGAGGATGCGCGAGGAGGGCGGACTTGCCTTTCTTAAGACGCACTGCCATCCCGCATGCTCAGAACAGTCTCCGAAACCATGTCGGGCAGGTCCCCTGCCTCCCGCGCGACCGTCATCGCTCCGAGGCCATCGACAAACGCACCGTCGGCCAGGCAGTCGACTTCGGAGTCACCAGGGAGTGCGAGGAGCGGCTGCTCTTGCTGATCGAGCTTGAGCAAGTACCCGTCAAGGACCATCCCTGACCGGATCGCGCAAGTGATGGGGGCGACAAATTGGTTAGACCAGGTCAGCTGGTGAGCGGCCAGGCCCGCTTCCCGAGGCCGCCCGAACAACTCCTGGGCGCCCTTAGTTTTGAACCAGGTGCTCGCGCGAGCATCAGCGAGCATCCGAAAAAAAAATGCGTTGTGCTCGTTGTCGTGCCAACCAAGGACCCCTGATTGAGCCATCGTGCGCTCGGATACCGGAAGCAGGGCCTCGGTGGGGTCGGCGGCGTCAATGGCGTCAGCCAGGTCCAAAGGATCATGCAACTGCGGCATCACTATAGCACGGATCCCGTTGTAAAAGGCAGACTTGAGATCTATAAAACCACGACAGAAAGGGTGCCTTTCTGACGGGCCACAGCCGCAATCGTTCGAACCAGGTGGGTGGCCACGTCAGTCCCCCGACCAGAGACCCCTCCCATCTGGGTCTCAAGAAGTAAGCTGGCCACGAGTTTCTGCATCTGTCCTCTCGTGAACTTGCGACGATGTTCGGCCAGATTAATCATCGGGGGAATACGCCGGTAGCTGGCGCGCCCCGCGCCCCCCCCCCCCCCCCG